TCTCGTGACTCCGGGTGCAAGACTGGAGAGAAATATAACTTTCGTGGCGGAATTAACTCCCTTTTTGTATATGTCATTTGTTTCAATACAGAAAGCGATTCAGGACCTAATGCAAAACCATACGAAGAACATTAAGTTATATACTTTACTGCCTCAATACAATTCGTTTAAATATAAAATTACGTTCGTACGCCAGAGTACGTAAAATAATGCATAACGGATCGAAGACCAGAATTCACTGTGTATTGGCTCCTCGTAGCTTGGGTGTGACGAGCAATTCAGCCAGGTCGCAGTTCCATGACACCTGTACCGTAGGTGCATCTCGCGTCATGACTGCTATAGCCGTATTGCGTACATTACGATGTATCAGGAGCTGGTACTGCATAAATACCAAGATCTTCTCCATGCTTAGGATAAAAAGATATGGAATGCATCTGGCACTGCACGTGCTGAAATAGCATGAGCGACAGTGATTTTAAATGCCTCCCACCCAAGGCAATTTGAAGTAAGGGGACGATCCATTATACCGTAAAATCTGGTCTTGTGTGGGTTATGCATTAACACAATTTTTTATGTGATTTGAAAAATGCAAACTGTGATAAGAAAACTACAGCGTGCATAACTTTCGTGTCGCAAAATTCTACTGTTATAGGTGCATATATAAACTCTAACTTGCCACAGATATTTGCGGTGCTGACTGGCTGAATGTAAAAAACGTTCAATAGGTAGTCGGACAATGAAAAATCTGATCAAAGACTACGGAACTATGTTCATCACAAAAAACAATCTGCTGATCAACTTTTCCACTCAGTCGCATGCCATGCCTACTTTTAATCTGCTAAAGAATGCTTAAAGATCTGTTTGATCTGTTAGAACTGATATTCGTAATTTCTCCTCAACCGTCTACTGTAAGCGTCCCATTTTTACCATCGAGAATATCTTTCTCAGAGTAATTCCAAGATCGCTCACTCATAAAATGTCATAAGACCTCTAGTGATTGCAATGATAATTCCCTCCTTACGAACACTAGGAAATTTCTTCAGCGTTCACGTCTTAACATATAATGCGTGAAGATCGTATTAAATGTTATCGTCGAATTTCGTCAATTCCTGTGGCAAACCTTTTGAATCACAGACATATTTATCGTTAGCTGCAAATCGAAACTAAATGGCCAGTTTAAATGGCAGTCACCCACATTAAGCAGCATGTTCAAATACAAAGAACTGCGAACGATACAACATGTAGCCACATGTCCAAAACAAATGCAGCATCATATCTGGAATTAACCATTTCCAACTGAAATCAATTTACTAAAGGTTATACATAAAAATGACAAGTTTTCAGTGTTTAGACAAAACGCAACGACTGAACAGAAGCACATAATTAAAAACAGAAAAAGCATGAAAGCCAATATGTACAGATAAGCTTAGGTTATCGACACCTGTTTTACACACTCCGTTATTACGCCTCCACCGATCCCAAGTACGGATGAGAAAGAAGGAGAGCTGAAAAATTCGGTCTTCGTTAAAATTTGGTCATCAGCCCCTCGTGGAATTGCCAGTATGAAACGTTATACCATCTCGACACTCACCCCGCCTAACACGAGTAGCACATGGTGCTTCGTAAACTGATGCAAACAGCGAAAAGCCTCCGATCAGATAGTATTTCGTGCTATCTCTCAGTCAAAGGTCCAGCTAGCTAACTGGAAACGACTGCTGTACATCGATGACAAGACTACAAAAAAAACAAGTTAACAACAGAACCGACACCAATTCTGAAAGGAGGACGCAGAGATCGCAATGCCATAATTGTAAGTAAAACAAGATTCCTGTGGAACGATACAGACCGTGAAAGCAGACACAAACGCATCAGAGAGTGCTTCCAACGTTCCTGATCCTGCTACAGTCTGAGCTTCGTGTAGTAACAAAGAGAAAGCGTAGTTTTCGGACATAGATTTGCTTTAGTAACAGTCGATCAGGCAAGTCCATGCAGAACTTGCCTCTACCTACTCCAGTTCGCCGGTCGATCTCTTCTATTTTCCACCACTAGTAAATATGACCGGGCAGAAAGCCACACTGCTCTTCTATCTTGAGGTCAGCTATTTCGCGGCACTTTTTATCTAGCACCTTTGCGCAGACTTTAACCGGGAGGCTCAATAATGTAATGGCCCTATAATCTGAGCATTCCTTCTGGTCTCCCTTCTTGAATACGGGTACAATAACTCCCGTTTTCCAGTCCGCTGGTGTCTTTCCCGCAGTCA